GACTCTGTGGGAATCAATTCTCACTCCATCTTCCCTGGAACCAGAGCCTCTGTTCTTATTTTCATATTTTCCCTTCTACTTCTTTGGGTTTAAATTGCTCTTTTGTTTTTTCCCTAGCTGCTTAAGGTGGATAATTAGGCCATTGATTTTAAACTTTTCTTCTCTTCTAATATAAATACTTACAGTAATGGTACATCAGAACTTCAGTCCTGCTTCTCTGTAGTTTTCTTAGCTCCTCCTCCCACGTGTTGGCTTCATCTTCCAGCTGTTGCAGCATTGCCTGCCAGCATAAAGTCACACCTGGAGACAGAAAGGTATCATCTCTTCTGTTTGTCTCTTTTAGAAGAAAGCAGACTTTCCCCAGAAGCCATGCAGCAGGCTTCCCCTAATGTCTCATTGGCCCAGATTGGGTGATATGCCCACTCCTAAATCAAGATTACTTGTAGGTGGAAGAGGATTACCACGATTGGCTTAGACCAATCATTTGGGGTTGAATGAATATTGAGAAGTCAAACTGTAAAACCACCTCGGTGACAAGACTGCTAATAGTCAGTGAATAAAAAGCTAAGTTTAATGGACTAATCCCACTGACATGTCCAACTGGAGATATTCTACCTAGAATCCTAACAATTCACTCTGCAATAGATTGGAGCCAGCAAAGCTGCACAGGAAAAGATGGCAGAAGTCTACCTGGCTGATCCTTAGCTCTGACACTAGAGTTCCACACTTTATATAAGTTGCCACTCAATGTCATTGGAGCCTTTGAATAAAAATAATCCTTCAGTTAAACACAAGTCAGTTTATCTGAGCTAACTTCAAACTCGAGTAAGATTAAGAGACCCAGACAATAAGATACATCCATTAGGTAAAATTTCAGAAATCAATAAAGTAATTAATTTAGCATATAGCTTTATACAAGGAAATACTTTGAATCCAAGATGGAAATTGCAACTAATTTTAGTATTATTTACTAGCCATCCAGGATTTGTGGCTTTTATAATCTATTTGAATCCTCTCCTAGGGCTGCTGGGATAGTCTCATCATTGCCTGTCCTCAATGTTAGTGGCAAAGAGAACACTATTTGGGCTCAGTTCAGTCCTTGTGTCACCAAACACTCATCTGGATTTTATCTTCCAGATCCTCTGCCTTTCAACAACATTCATTCTATAGGGTTTTTTCTTCTTCTTTTTTTGCTAGAATATAAACGTTATTAGGGCAAGGATTATATAAAAGTAATTTCCATTACATAATTTCCATTTTGTTTTTAATTGTGGTAAAATATACATAAAATTTACCATATTAACCACTTTTAAGTATACAAATCAGTGGCATTAAGTACATTCATAATGTTGTGCAACCATCACAACTATCCACTTCCAGAATTTTTTCATCACGGCAAACAGAAACTCCACATCCATTAAACAACTCCTTGTTTCTCTTTCCCTCAGCCCTGTAACCACTATTCTACTTTGTCTCTATTAATTTGCCTATTCTAGGTACCTCATATAAGAGAAATCATACAATATCTTTTTGTGTTTGGTTTATTTCACTTAGCATAATGTTTTCAAGGTTCATCCATATTGTGGAATGTATCAGAATTTTACCACTTTTTAAAGTTGAATATTATTCCATTGTATGCACAAACGACATTTTGTTTCTCCATTGATCTATTGATGGACACTTGTGTTGCTTCCACCTTTTGGCTATTGCGAATGATGCTGCTATGAATATGAATGTACAAGTATCTGTCTGATTTCAATTCTTTTGGGTATGTACCTAGGAGTGGAATTGCTGGATATGGTGATTCTGTTTAGCTTTTTGAGGAATCACCAAGCTGTTTTCCAGTGGCTGCACCATTTTACATTCCCATCACCGATGCACACTTGTTCCAGTTTCTCCACATCCTTGCCAACACTTGCCGGTTTTTGTATTTTTAATCATAGCCATCCTAATGGGTGTGAGGTGATATCTCACTGTGGTTTTGATTTGCATTTCCCCAATGATTAGTAATGTTGAACATCTTTTTATGTGCTTATAGACTATTTGTGTATCTTCTTTGGAAAAATGTTTATTCAAGCCATTTGCTCATTTTAAAAATCTAGCTGTTTGTTGAGTTGTAGTTCTTTACATATTCTGGATACTAACCCCTTATCAGATATATGATTTGCAAATATTTTCATTCCACAAGAATTTGAGTGCCTATTACGGGTCACGAACTGTACCAGATGCTTGAGAAATATCAGTGAATGAGGCAGCTCATGCTCTCAAGAAGCATAAAAAAATAGTGGGGTCAATACAGCAGATATAATGTCCGTTTAGTGGGGTACAAAGTTATCACATTGCTTCTCAAACATGCAAAGGAAAATAGAGCTTATTTTTTATAACGGATGTTTTTGCTTCTTCAGTCCCCACCTCACCAGGTGGGGGATGGGGATGGTGAAAGAGGTGAATTAAACTATTCAGCTCATTTTATGTTCAACTCCCTAACATGGCTATTTCTCCGTCCGCCCTTTTCTGCCATCTGGATGTCTGTGAAGCGGGGTTTACATTCCCTGTGGTGAGATGGTGCCGTGGATTGGGTCTCAGATGGGCTTGCTGTTCTCTTTATTTTCTCTGGTCTCTATTCTGCACAGCTGTGGTGCTTGCTCACCAAATTTGCAGCAACGAGTGATCTGTTCTTTTGGCTAGCCTGGAGGCCAGTATCCCTTCTTGGTGATTTGCCTCCACTTTGGTTCTAGCCACCCCTCTAAGGTGTGGCTGAGACTCCCAGCTGATCCTGGGCCTGCTGGGTCCTGCAGCTCTTAGCTACAGGATCCACAGTTACTTTGTGCAGTGATCCCACCTCTCCAGCTGGTACAATCAGCTATTTTCCAAGGTCCCATCAGGCACGGAGAATTGCTATACATCTTCTAAGCCACATGTTAGCTGGTGGAGAGGCTTTGCCCGACAATGCACTGCCATTCTTACAACAGTCCAGAGTTGGAGCACAGGAAGTGTTGAGCAATTGTTCTCCCAATGCACTCACTGGCAAGTGGGCCCAGCCCTCTCCCCTCTCAAGTTCTCTCTCAATCCCCTCCAGAATTTCTGCAGAGGTTCCATGAAAAGGTGAAAAGACACTGTGTCTGACCTTCTCTTTGTCTCACCATTCCCAGGATCAGAAAGGCTTTTTAATTTTTTTCTTTTGCTACCTCATGACTGCTTTGTGCCCAGAGTATCATTCATCTTCCTCCTCTTCCTTGGGGCCATATTTGCAGTTTGATATTTTAAAAATATTTTGTGTGATAATCGCAATGCGAGGGGTAAGAGACTGCTACGGGATCCAAGAAGGGTGTAGTGGTGCTCCCCAACCTACTCTTGGGGTGTTAGGGTAGGTTTCCTGGAAGAAGTGATATCAAAGCTAAAACCTGAAGAACACAGAGGAGTTAAAGTATAGATGCTGGATAAAAATTCACAAAGAACACATGTAAAGGACCCAGAGGCAGGATGACTTCTGATAATTCAGAATGTCTTCAGCACAAAGGAGGCAATGGCAAGAGATAAAAGTTGAAGTAAGCTGTGGCCAGACCATAAAGGGCCTCAAAAACCTTGTTTAGGAGGTCTGACTTTACATTAAAAGCAATGGGAAGCCTACGTTTTGTCCCCATGGAAGGGACATAATCAAATTTATGTTTTAGGATGAACACTCTAGTTGAAAGAAATGAATGCATATGAAGAAGGCAAAGTTAAGGGCCATTTGGCTCCCCCTCACTCAGGGATAAGCCACCATCTTGAATTTTCTAAGGACAGGCTAGAAAAGCATAGAGTTAGAGGGTGGATCACATAAGCATGTTTAAATGTTAAAGAGATAGATCCTGAAGGCAGGCAGGATGAAGAAACAGAAGAGGGAGAATAACTGATGGCAGCCAAGGACCTTCAGAGGGGGGAAGAAATGGTGAGGGACCAGAGAGACCCTTCTTTCATTCTGAGGGAGAAAGGAAATTTCTCCCTGAAAGAGGGAGAGGGGAAATGAGTGAGGTGTAGATAAGCTGGTAGATTTGGTGGCAGAAGGTTCTAAGTGTTGTCATCGGTTTTTCTATAATGCAAGAGGCAAAATGATAGTCATCTGCCCATGAAGAAGGTAGTCAGGATTATGGCAAGCACTGTCGGCTGACTCAACATTGTGCCCCATCCCCATCTTCCCTGCTGCTTTCCCTCTAGAGGTTGAAAACGCATGCCTTACCAGACACACTGGCAACAAGGAAACATGCGCTGAATTCTGCTGGGGTTTCTTGGAAAACTTTTACTTTTCCTAGTATAGGAGACAGCCATGGCCAGAGCCCCGCTTCCTCTCTTCCTGACTTGACCCCAGTTGTCAATCTTGGAGCTAGGACAGCTCTCTTGCCTATCTGAGAAAATAAGCATGAGACCAAAAGAAGGGCACACACACCAGCCAGACCAGTCATTGTTCAGCTGCTGACTGAGAGCCAGCAGCAACTCACCCTCCTGATTTCCTGTTGCAAAGTCTTATTTGTTTAAGCCACCAAATGTAGACTTTGCATCCAGAAGCATTCCTGATACAGGAAAGTTTAAGGACAGTGAGGAACATGTCTCTGAAGAGAATGGGAGAGAGGTAAAGAAGGGACACAGGATTATCAATAGCAAAGGCCCAGTTGAAGTAAAATTCATTTAAAAAAATAACCAATTTCATTTTGGAGTATTTACTACATGTGGAAATTAACCAATCTGATGGGAGTGCTAATATCATGCTAATTTTTACCAAGGTTAGCCCAAGTCATAATAATTCTCTATTTAGATAAACTAGCACCTTCTACTCGTTAGACCTATGTAAGTGAAAGCTACCTCAAAGTGCACAGCAACATCCTTTAAAGATTCATGAGTACTCAGACGATATGATTCACATGACTTTCTGGTGAGGAGGTTCAAACTATTCACAATGAAGAGAATGCAACCTTGCAAAGTTTACGGCAGCACCAAGTAAACAGACACTTCCCTCAGAACACTTGATTTAGATTCTGTCATTTTATTCATGTAGCGCCTAAGAAACTCTTTCCATAATTAAGCAGTAATTCAACATACACATCTCTCTGAGACATTTGCTGCTTTAATAGATGGCTTGTTCCTCTTTAGAGAATGAGCTCCAAATAAAGACTCCTACATTCATTTTTAATAACTAAAAATATACCAAACTCAATAGATATGCATATTACTAGAACTAGAAAATATAATCACTATCAGAAAATTCTCTAATATTTGTATTTACTTCTCCCCCTACTCATCTTCTATTTATCAATATACTAAGCAAAGCACAGTAATGCCACATTTGTTTGTGGAGTTACTCTAAGCACTAGATGATAGCTGAATTTTTGATAATGAAATGTTTACACTTCATGAGGAACCCAATCAAAGAAGTTCACTATAAGCCCCTTCTTCCCTTCCCCTTCCAAGGACTGTCACTTCTGATGTTTGCTTCCAGGTTGGCTAACTGGCACCATGGAAAACCCAGTAATACATGTATTCTTGGAATACATACAGAGTTTTATCAAGAAGCCCTGGAAAAGGGAATATTATGTCCTATACCAGCAGAATAATTTTAATAACATACAAATCAGTCATTTTATACTTCAACGTGGAATCTGACTGAATTAAATATGGCTAAAACTTTGGTGGACTCTTTAAATTGAACTTCAGTGATTTCCTCATTAGTACAAGAGGATCAAAATCCAAGGTCTCACTACATGACAGCTTGTCTGGAAAGTGATCTCATTGACAATGCATAAGACCCTGAAAAGGCTGTCTTCTGAGGCCTGAAACATGCTGACAGCTGATTTTTGCCAGAAAGGGGGCCGGGAAGAACACTGAAGGATAGTCTCCAGCTATGAAGGGCTTTCTTTTCCAGGTAAGCTGTGGCACGCTTCCCCATTACATGCCATGCTGCCAACATTCGTGTTACATCAGTCAGTCTTGTTTGGACGGTCTTTTCTTCAGCTCCCTTTTTTCTTTATATTGAGATAGTCATCAACCTTATATAAGCATCCAGACAGCCCTGTTTAATGTGTAGGCTCCTGTAAGTTTCATAAGACATTAAGTCCCTTTACTCACCTGCCTCCTAACAATGACCCTGGACATTTCAGCCTAGGTCTTGAGGAACATATTCTACTGGGCTGCCTCAATCCTATTCTCATATTTTGAATCTGGTAACAGAAAACAAAAGGAAATTTTTTAAAAAGTGCTTTAATCTTTGGTCTGAGAACTCCAATGCTCAAGTGATGAAATGGAAAACAATATCCATTTTTTATACTGAGTAACTCACACGTTCCTTCTCAACAGGGAAATGTACTTGTCTAAAAAAGGAATATACTAGTTCATTATTTGTGTTAATAATGGAAATAGTAGATGTCTGAGAATCTTTTCAAGAGCTGCCCTAGGGATGGAAATCTGAATTAAGTTTTAGAATCTCAAACATCTGAATTGACATGGTGTTGATAAGCAGAAAAGCAAACAATGCTGACATAAGATAGTCTATATTCTCCCCTGTGGCTCTGATGACCCTCAAAAGGAAATGTGCCCATTATAACCAATAATTTACTCTAAAGAGGTGTTTGTGCCTTGTGTCCTCTCCCCTGTTGAAAAAGCTCTGAGTAAATGCTTTGATTCCCTCAGGATACTGATGGGACTCTTTCCTCTAGTGTGTCCTTTTTTATGTCTAAAAAGATTAGAGCTCTGACTAAAGGCTTTTCCACATTCGTGACACTTGTAGGGTTTTTCCCCAGTGTGGATTCTTCGATGCTGAATCAGGACTGCACTTCGGCTAAAAGCCTTTGCACACACATCACACACGTAAGGTTTTTCTCCACTGTGGATTCTCTGATGGAGGATAAGGGCTGAGCTCTGACTAAATATTTTGCCACATTCATTACATTTATGTTGTTTTTTTCTAGAAGGATTTCTCTGTCTTCTTTCAAACCTGCCACCTTGTTCACAGGTTCCTCTATATGTGAAACTCTGGGAAGTATTCATATGAAGGGTGTTAGAAACATCATAATGCAGTTCTATGCCTGAAGAAGTCTTTTGCCTCGAAGCTGATTTCACATTTATAGTTCTGGTGTCTTTATCTGAAATAATACAGAAAAGCAAATGTCACCAGTTCTCTATTTAGAAAGACAAAAAGGGAAATAGGATGATCCAAATGAAACATATATGAATTATTTATTAGCTAGCATGTTTGTAAAATAGCATCACAGTGTGGAGGATGCAGAATGTAAGGCAGAAAACACCGAGAAGATCCTAAGGCAAAAGAGAAAGGTTTATATTCTGAGGAGGCAGTCAACTAGAAAGGTGAAAAGTCTATGCAAAATGTACAATGGTAAGTTGGGTAAACAGATATGTCAGAGCTGAGGAAAGTTTGGAAGAAAAGAAAGGGCCTAAAGGATGAGGAATTATTGGAGAAGCAGAGGAGCAACCGAAGGAGAGGAATCAAATGTGGCAGTGGGAAATAAACGAGATTCAGTACAAGAGCATCAATCAACAAAACAACGGTTTAATATGACAAATGAATCGATAATTAAGCAAAGAAAGGAGATGAAAAAGGCCATGGGGTTAAAAAGGAATACGGCAAACAAGGTCAGAAATAGAAGTTAGGAAAAAAGAAAAAGAAAAGGCGGGGAGGATTATAGGCTAGGATAAATGACATCTCAAAAGATCAAGGATAGTAGAGTATTCTACAAAATACCTCTACTCTTATGTGTATTTTATAGTACTAGTTTGAATGACCTCATTACTGGTTTAAATAGAAATCATTTTATAAATGGTAAGAATTCTGTCTCAAATTCATTTCTTATAGTTCAAACTCCAAAGTCATGTCAGTGTCTAATTACTACCACCAAAATCCTGGCAACAGTCAGCACCTGACAGCACGGAGACCAAGGTCATCTGCAGAAGCTTTGATAAGACATGACTTGGTACCAGAGAAATCATGTAGCGGGCTTAGGAAATGGTTCTGTTACCCTATCACATGATTTTCCTTCGCTATGCCTAGTTTTACAAGATTCTGGGCCTTCTGTTTTCTGTTTCAAATTTCTATGAATCTTTAAAAAAAATGTAGGAAAGGCCCCTGTGGGGATATTCAGAGGTAGAATGTGGTTCTTGCCAACAGCAGGAGCCCAGGACCTGGATTTCTTTAGTGACCACCACACAAAAATGCGGAGGCCGGCATGGTTTCCCTCCTTATCCTGAGGGAGTATGAAAACACTTCCACTTATCTCCTAGTTAAAGCGAGACAACTGCTAGACTGGAGGTGTTAAGTGCCCAGTACAAGCCTCTTAGGAGCAGGTACTTGTGAAGTAAGAGTGAGAAATCTTTTCTAAATCTCTCTTCTCTACCTTCTTGCTCAGATCATGTAGACCAATGTTAGACCCAGGTTAGACTGTAACCTTGGGGTCCCTCACAAGGTGGGGACAAGGCCGAGTTGGAGCCCTCATGGGCTGAGACTGCTTGCTCCTGCTTCAGAGTGCCAATGTTTTTCTGTTTTATATATTAAACTCCACATAAAATTTCATTTGAGAAAAGGGTCATGCTGCTTAAAAAAGGTTTGAAAATCCAGATGGAGATGATGTTAAGAATTTTTAAAATCTGAAGATTTTATAAGAATCTACGAGAGACAAACAAGAACAAAATACTGAGAATGTTCATTAGCATGACACATAACGGTGGAAGTTCCCACAGTGAAGAGAAGGCAGGAGGGGAGAGTTGAGACCACTTGCAGAAAGCAGCCTAGATGTGTGCGCCAGAAGGAGAGGCCACTTTGCTCCCCACCATGAACCGAGTCCTGCTGCTCACCTTTTTGTCTTAACGAGTGAAGCTGCTTCTTCACAGGCTTGAGCTGGCTACTTGGTGACTCCTGGATGATTTCCCAAGGTGCTAGTTTCTCTGAAATCATGTCCTCATTTCGTCCAAAGACAACCTGGAAACGGGTATAACTGAGGCTGAAGAAGGGAAATCAGGTTGGCACTTGAGGATAAATTAACAGAGAAGAAACGATGTAGAAAACACTGAGGGACACCAGAAAAGGGAGGAAAAGGTAGAGCCACGTTCTACTTTCTGGCAGAGTGGGGAGTACCTTCACCATGCTACCCGTCCAGTGCTGCTGAGTGGGAGTACAGTTTGGGACCTCTACCCCCAATAATGCACCAGAGCTCCTGACAGCCTGGTCGCTCAACCCCACAGACACCCTCTTACCTGCTCAGGTGGCCCGTCAAGCTCTTTCTCCAGGTCCTCCAGCATAGTCACGGCTTCCTCTCCATCCTCTGGTCGGTGATCTCGCAGCCAGGCCTGCAGCTCCTCGGGCAGGATGGCCAGGAACTGCTCCAGCACCAGCAGCTCCAGGATCTGCTCCTTAGTGTGCACCTCTGGCCTCAGCCACTGACGGCAAAGCTGCCGGAGCTGGCTCAGAGCCTCCCGGGGACCAGGGGACTCCTGGTAGCCAAACTGCCTGAACCGCTGGCGGAAGGTGTCTGGGCTGCAGCGGCTGCTCCAGGGGAGGCTGGAGTCCACATCACACGTCTGCTCTTCCTCTTCCATCTTCACGACCAGAATGCTGTCAGGCTCCTCTACAGTTTGTGGATGAAGTTTTAATGACGCTCTCAATTTCGCAGACATTTGGACTGGAAACAGCTCAGGACCAGTAGGCTTTAATCTTCAAGGAGGCGCAGCTCTCCTTACAGACGCTCCTTAAATCCGACTAAGGAAACAAGCGGAAACAAGACAAAGACAAATGCTTCTCAGAACAATACAACTAAGATTAGAGACATAAGACTGCACATAAAGTATTGTCCTTAATCTAACATTAAGAGAATCTCTTTAAGAGAATCAAAGAGCTAAGACACATTAATTCATAAGCATGAGTAATTCCTAATTTATTCTGAAAACCATGCCCAAGAGGCTGAGTAAAGATCACAATAAGAGATCAGCCAGGACTGCATAGGAGCTCTGGAGAATAGAAACAAGGGAAGCCAGAGAAAAGCTATGACTCTGGAGCAGGTTCAGAGAGCCAATTAATTTTATCTAGCCTGCTGCAAAGAGCACTAAGAAATAGTCCCATGAGAGAGGTACTTAGGTGTGGATTTTTTAAACATTTACTAATTGTTAAAACAGTATTATTTTGACATTAAGGGAACCACTCAAAAGAAAAAGTAATCAGGGGCCAGGCCTGTTGTGCAGTGGTTAAGTTCTTACATTCCACTTCGGTGGCCTGGGGTTCGCTAGTTCAGATCCCTGGTTCAGACCTACATACTGCTTGTCAAGCCATGCTGTGGCAGCATCCCACATATGAAGTAGAGGAAGATGGTCATGGATGTTAGCTCAGGGCCAGTCTTCCTCAGCAAAAAGAGGAGGATTGGTAGAGATGTTAGCTCAGGGCTAATCTTCCTCAAAAAAAAAAAAAAAAAGTAATCACATATTGCTCCATCTTAATGTATTTCCAGGTTTTCATACTCATTTCTACTTCCTATCTGTAACATCTCTATTACTTACTTAACTCTATCTTTATTGTAGGATATTTAGGTTGTTTCTGATTTTTACTATTAGAAATAAGTCTGGGAGGCACATCTTCATGAATATGCTATTTTTCTCCTTTCCAATTATTTCCTTCAAGCATGTCCCAAGGCCTTGCCTTATTTAGGTCCAAGGACAGTGGCAAATTCTGTCTTGCTATATTATCGAATAAATTACAGAAAAGATTATCAATTCACAATGCCACTGGCAACATAATGATGCACAAGGGCAACAATTTCTCCAAGTATCATTAGCTTGTTAGCAGGAAGGGGGCCGGAAGACACTTTTCTTAGTACCATTTTACTGAGTACTACTACTATTTACTGAGTATTAACAGTTAACTGAAGACTAACTTAAAGTCTTTTATGTGCCCCTATTTTTTCCTCTTTATGTAGCCTACCACTCCGCCCCCCCCCCCGCCCCCACTCCACCAAGCACTGGTCTAGGCACTGAAGATACCGCCGTGACCTGAACAAAGCCGGTGGCTTCACAGAGCTTATACTCTACCAGGGGAGAGAAAACAATGTTACCCAAGAAATGATACAACTTTAGACAGCGATGCGCTACGATGCAAATGATAACAGCCGACACATAGAGAACTTCCTCTGTGCCAAGCACTGTTCTAAACATCTTAATAAACATAAACTCATTTAAATCCTCACGAAAGCCCTGTAAGGTTATTTTCAGCCCCCCGTTGTAGAGAAGGAACCTGCCCCGGCAAAGCTCCGGGGACGGGCCGATGGGCAAAGCAGCAGGCTGGAGTCTGAACCCCGGCCATGCCCACTATCCACGGGCTGTGCGCTCAGGAGGGAGGCAGGCGCCCCCGCGCAGAGAAGGGGCAGCAGACCCAGACGAGCCCGGGCCGGAACAGAGTCTGGGGTCCAGACCAGAGCGGCGGGAAGGGTTGCGGCCAAGCGAGGGGCCGTCTGCGGGCGTACCATCGAGGGCCCCCAAGCTAAAAAGGCCTCGGAAGCCCCAGGAGAGAAGCGCACGCGGAACGCCCTCCACCTCCCCAGGACCAGGAGCCGACCCCCACCGCTGCTCTCGGCCCCCACGAGACGAACCCCCGACGCGGCGCGGGGGGCTCCAGGGAACCGGGTGCCTGGAGGGGGGCTTCCGCAGAGCCCCAGAGCCGCGTCTTTCCGGCGAGGACCGACTCTCACTCCGAAACCCCTCCTGGAGCTGGCCGAACCTCCAGAAGTCCCCTGTCCCCCACGCCCCCACAGCGCCCGCTCCCCTCATCGCCCCCCTCCGCTCCCGGGCGGGAAGCAAACACCGCGAGACCGCGAGAGGCGCGCGGGCATGGAGGGGGTGGCGCGGCGCGGCGGGGTGGACGGGAGTGGGCTCGCCCCAGGGATGCGCTGGGGAGGACGCGGGGAAGGGGAGCGTGACGCGCAGTGTGAGGCAGGGAGGTGCGGGGACGAGGTGGGGGCCGCGGGGCAGGGCCGGGCGCGTGAGGAGGGGGCGGCGGGCAGGGGCAGCGAGAGGGGTGTGCGGGCGCCCGGAGGGCGAGGTCGGCTGCGGTGAGGCGGCGCGGAGGTGCGCGGCCACCCTTCCCCACCCATCGAGTGACGGACGCTTCTCCCTGCAGCCTGGCGGCGCAGAAGAGCCCTCGGCTCTCACCTCCGAGCCAGGAAGGACGACCTCGCGTTATCCGGGAGAAGCCGGGGGAAGCGTCCGGCTGGAAGCTGCTTCCGGTCCTCGGGGTGGGGTGGGGTGGGGGCGGGGCCTGGAACGGTTGCCATGGAGACGAGGCGCCGCCGCCTCAGGTTTCCCGAGAGGCTGGCCCGAAGCTAGGGAAACTGGGGGTAACCGCACTGTGAGGGGAAGCCGGCTGCTCGGCGTCCCGGTGCAAATAAACCGGCATTGTTATTTCTCAGAGTACTTCTACTTACATTATTTCATTTACGCTTAAATGATAAATGAGTTATTCTCATTTTACAGAAAATAAATCCAAAAGTTGCGTGACTTGCCCAAAGGTCACAGAGAGGAGAGATTCCTGTGCTTTCTACCGCTAAGGACTTTTCGTCTAATACCATTCGCGCTACTGAGGTTGATTATGCTTGGGTATTGCCATTTTAAGGAACAGGTTTGCCCCCCCCCCCCCCCGGCTTTCAATAGAGGACCTAATGGCCCTTTAAAAAGGTGAGAACGTGCTCATACACATATTGTGGAACCAATATAAACGTATGTATTGCCTCAGATAATCTTAAGTAAGTTTAAAAATAAATTTGAAGCTAAACGAGTTACAAGGCCACAGCTCCATACATTGGCTTCCTCCTCCACCCACTTTTACTAGGGACTATTGGAAAATGTACTTGTAGAGGTAAGTGGGGAATTAGACAGGGAGAGGACAGAGATGCTTGAAAACCACTTGCTAATTAATGAACAATAATAAGAAAAAAACCCTTCTGATGTTGATGAGGATTTTTAGGCTGCTTAATTTTAAAATGGTTTATGATGAGGATTTTTAGGTTGCTTAATTTCAAAATGGCTTATGATGAGGATTTTTAGGCTGGTTAGTTTTAAAACTACAGATGAGATTCAGGCTCCAAGGAGTGGAATTTGTTTGCCCCTTTGTTGGGAAACATTTACATTTCTAAGGGAAACCTCTATCTGTGAAGATGCCTCCCTCTCTGTGCCAGGAAGAAGGGGGAATGGTCTTATCTCTAGAAGCTCTTAATCAATGCCAGAGGCAATAACTTAAGTTGGTTACTGTCTGGCAACCTCTTGTAACTGACCCCCCCCCCCCCATCCTCCTTTGTCTTTAGCTGAGGATAAAATTCAAGCGGTGACTTCTGCCATTTACTCAATCCCTTTTGATTCTTATCTAAAAGCTGTGGGACCGCCAAATGGCCAGACCAGACGGGCACTGATACCATTTTAACTTTTTTACATATTCTTTGTCTTGTAAAGAGATAACTCACATACCTATGCCTTAAATTTAGCCTTACTCTCCACCCAACTTTGCAGCAGCAGCAGCAGCAGCAGCAGCAGCAGAGGCAGCAGAAGCGGCAGCAACAGCTCTGCCTGCCCGTGGGTCCTGTCCTCATGCCAGCGGCGGCAGCAGCAGCTCCCCATGCCAGCAGCATCTCTGACCGCCTGTGGGTCCTGTCCCCATGCTATTCTACTCTCTAAATAAAAGAGCACTACTGCCAGATCTTAAGAGTCTAAGAAATCTTTCTTTCGACTCCTCGGCTCACTGACCCCTGATGGGGCTGAGAGCAGGCCGCTCCAAGGTGTGCCACTCTGGTATGCGGACCATTTCGAGCTGAAGACAATGAAGTCTCAAAAGACCCAGAAAGAGCATCTGACCTTCCCCCAAGCTGCCTAAAGAAATTTAAAATAAAGGTTGTCTCCAGGACAGGCCATCACCCTAGATAACTATCTAGGACACTTGGGGGGATCCTTGCTAAGTCCACTCTTATCAAAGTCCTGCGTATCAAACTTCTGCATTCCATCTCTATGACAATTGTCTTTCTCCCCCTTGAAGCCCCAGATCATTATGTGCTCCTTGCCCGTAGCTGAGGGTACTTAAACGGGTAGACTCAGCCAGATGGCCGAGTTACTCAGTTTGCCCTGAGTTTCTCCCATGCATACATGCTATTAAATTTTGTTTGATTTTCTCTTGCTAACCTGCCTCTTTGATTATTTGACCAGCCATAAGAACCTTGAGGAAAGGCGGTGGGGGGGAATTCTCCCACTTCCCCGACACCCCGCATCAATGTGACCAGAAAAAACCATGTATTTTTATCCTGGAGTCTTGAGTAATGAGAGAAAAGCCTGGTTTATTCAGTCTATACCAGACCTAGGAGGGTAAGGGAGAAACTTTCAGATTCCACTGTAGGGTAGGAAGACACATCCTCTACCCTCTGGATCCTTTTAGCTGGGATACAAATTAAATTGACATGAGACAGAATAATGGGAGAAAATCAAAGCTTTATAACATGTATATGTGGGAGACACTGAGGAAAACTGAGCAACTCGCCAAAATGGTGGGGTTTCCCATCTTAAATACCATTTCCAGCTAAAGACAAAGAGGATGTTGGGGTAGAGGGAATCAGTTACGGGAGATTATCAGAAAAGCACAGTAAACAAAAGTAAGGTTATTACGCAGATTTGAATCCTTGCCTTCTGCATTGCTTAGAGTTTCTAGAGATAAGGTCACCTCCCTTCTTCCTGGTACAGTGAGGGAGACGCCTTTACAGATGGAGATTTCCTTTACAAATGTAAATGTCTCTTACAAAGGGTAAATTCTACTTCTCAGAGCTTCTCCCATGTCTGCAGTTTTTAAAAGTAACCAGCCCAAAATAATCCTCATGCCAAAGAGACACATTCCGGGGTGGCCAATTCTGATCCCCAGCACCACCAAATAGCCAGATTGCAGATGCTAAAAATTTTTTTGAAAGGAGCAACTGTAAGAGATGGATTATGGTGTTTCACAGTAAGCTTGATAAAGGACAGGTTTTTGTTTGTTTGCTTTCTATGTTTATAATGTTTAGGGGTAGAGTGGAAAGAAATTAACAAGAAGAAGGTCTCAGTAGAGAGAGCAACTACCATATACCAGATCATGTTAAACATGGGAAATTCAAATGTACAAATACAGATTCCTGCTCTTTAGGAACTGACAGACTAATTAAGGAGAACAGTGTACAAATTCGAAACAATGTGGCAGATGCTCTGATAGCACTGTCTACAGGGTGCTGTAAAAACACAAAGAAAGGGAGGTGTTGGGGGGAAGGGTGGATAGACTGGAATTGGAACTGATGGGGAAAGCTGAATGTTGATACATTCCAGACTGAGGGACCAGTGCAGAATGTTTAGGTTTTCTGTATTGAAGGATGGCAGGCCATGAGTGGCTGAGGATGAGGATGAAGAGGTAAGCAGGGGCCTAGTTTTAAAAGATTTGGCAGGCCAGGCAAAAGGCCATAAGCATGGTCTTGAGAGAGTGACGCAAGTATATCTGCAATTCAGATAGAGCTCTCTGAGGTCAATGTGAAGGATGGACTTGAAGGGAGACAAAAGTCAAGGCAGGGTGGCCAGCTCTGAAGCTGTTGAAGGATCCAAGCTGCAGCTAATGGAGGTCTGAACTAGTGTAGGGGGGCAAAGATGGAGGTAGATTCAGGAAACATTTGGGAGGCTGGTCCTTGCTTAGATGGTAGACTGACAGATGATTGAGTGGATAGAGTCAATCAGGGAGGTTTAAAAAAACAGCAAGAGTAGGTTTTGACAGTGGCTTGTGTAGACTTTTGAGTGGAGTTTCAATAGACTGAATCTGAGGCTGAATAAGATGCTATAATCAGGGGCTGGCTCTGTGGCCGAGTGGTTAAGTTCGCGCGCTCCGCTGCGGCGGCCCAGGGTTCCGATCCTGGGCACGGACATGGCACCACTCGTCAGGCCACGTTGAGGTGGCGTCCCACATCCCACAACTAGAAGGACCTGCAACTAAGAGATACAACTATGTACCGGGGTGGCGGGGGGAGGGGTTTGGGAAATAAAGCAGAAAAAAAAAAAAAGATGCTATAATCAATACCCTGTGTGTGATTGGATATTTTGTGAGGTTATATGAAAATAAATATCAAACATGCTGTCTATCTGAATGCTTCCCCTTTATAAGTATGTTAAACTCCCTATGAATTTTATAAACACAGTGAAAGAATAGGGCAATTACTCTAATAACATTATAGAAACATTCATTCCTCAACCTTACATTTTCCTTCATCACTACATTCCTTCATCCCAACAATTTGCTCTCCACCTGGTTAGTAGCTTTTAGGGGTGTGGCTGTGTGTCTGTCTATGAATATAGCCATTTTTTCCTTGCCCAGAGGTGTGTGAAACAAGTGTGTTAGAAACAAGCTGCCATGTTTCTATAAGGATAAAGAGTTAGAGAGTCAAGAAACTTAGGCTTAGAAACAAAATGCAATTTGCGTACAAAGAAACTATGGTTTCCAGGAGAATGGTGGATAGAATGTGTGTGGGAAATCCAAGTGTGGGTGCACACTGAATAGCTATGAGAGTTTGGATGTGAGAACCAGGGGAAATATGTGTCCCTTTGTGGAAGACATGAATGAAGTACCAAGTTGGGAAGACAACTAAGGAAGCATCCCAAACTGAGTTCATCTTCTCCCGTTTATACCCTCAACTGGCTGAGCTCCCCAAATTCCTTGCTTTGATAGTGA